AATAAAATGGTTAATAAACCACCACTCCTCTGAGCTTGCTTTCCCCTGCACGCTCCTAGAAAATTAGTCCCAATTTTCAAATGTTTGTGCTCCTGCACTTTTACTTTGGCTCCTTCCAGGAAGGGACTGCACTGCCCCATTCTCTGAGGTCAGTTCTGACTGCAAAGAGTCACATGTCCCCCTGGAAAGGAGATGCTGAGGTATCAAGAAAGGATATGGATGGCCCTCCAGGGCTCCCAAATCCCTTTGAAATAAATGGAGTTAAACTACCCTGGAAATTAGGTGCAGTGGCTCTGGCCACCCTTGTCCAGCTGTGCGAAAATCCCCATTTAACTCCAACAGGGCACTCATCCAAAAAAGACTTTTTTTTCTGCCAGAGAGCAATGCATCCCCTTGCATCTACCCAACCCCCGAAAAGAAGCCCAGCTTGCAAATCTCTTCTGAGTCTGTCTGAACAGCTGTTTTTAACTTGGGAGCAGAAAGGTGGGGGTGGATCGGTCGCTCGTCATCGCATGTTTGCCATATGCACAACGCTATCTTCTGTAAACACAGCAGCTAATGAGCGTGCTGCCATCAGCAGCCCGGTTTCTGCAGCTAGAAATTGCAGCAGGATTAATCAGGAGAAGAAAGCCCTCTGCACACAGTGTTCATGTGTGCTTTGTGCTGTGTTTGGACATTGGGCTTGAGTCTCCTTCCAGCCCTGTGTTCCCCGGGCCCGGCAGTAACTGCTAAAGTCAGTCGAGCTGCACCGGTTTAAGGGCAGGCGGTGCCAAGCTGAGCGCTGCGGGTTGCCAGAGCAGGAACGTGGCATGGGGGAATATTTGCCATTCCCTTTCCCAGGGTGAAGGTCTCATGGCCCATGAGTTTCATGCCCCAGTGCCATCCACACTGGTTTAGTTTTGCTCCCTGCTCTGTTACAGAGGTTTTGCCTGCCTATGGCATCGGGACCTGCTTTTTCTCCATGACTTTGACTTTTCTGGGCTGAGGGGATGCAGGGCAGGAGTGTAGGGTTACAGCCCAGAAAGTCCTCCCTGTTTCCCACATGGCTTCAGACCACCTCTGGCTGCTTCCCAGCCACCTCTCACCACCCACGTTCATCGCTCCGCTCCTGTCCTCGTCCCCCCCTCTTCAGTTGATCTGTCTGTGGCAACAAGTGAGTACTTGCTTTTTTCTGCCCCGTGTCTCCAGGCTCCCCTCTCTGGGCAATGACTGTGTCCATTAAAGGGAGGGATGGGGCTGGGAGACGGGCAGAAATGACCCACTTGAGCTCCCTTTGCAGATGAGCTCAGGCAAGAAACATTTCTGAGGCTCTGCTGTGTAACATAGTGGTTCCTCTGCAGCTGAGGTCCCACGCCATCTCACTTCTCTCTCCTGCTTGTTGTTTACTGCCAGGACTTTTAGCAAAGCAGGGCTGATGGCAGCAAGCACAGTTGACCTCACCAAGAGTCCTGCATGGGAGCTTTCTCCTGCAGCCGGCTGAGTGAGCTGCTGCTGCTTGGCATGAGTCCCAGGAGATCACATTTTGGTGAGAGGAGAACCTGAGAAAGGGAGGGAGGTGATGGCTGCTTTTGGGAAGGGTCCGGAGGACGTGGGGCAGCTCTTCGAGCACGTCATGAGCAGAGTCTGGGTCTTCCGACACCTCTCTGCTTCATGGTAAGGCATCTCCCAAAGTTTGCAGGCTCACAGATTGGCAGGGGAGCAGAGGGATGCTGGCACCTGCGGCACCCTTAGACTTTGCAGGGAGTGAAAAAGCCCTTGAAGAGTTCAGGAAGGTGAGGAGGGTCCCAGGGTGGCAGAGAAGGAAACAAGGAGAAATTTCTCTGCCAAAGGCTGAGGGTTGCAGAGAAGAGGACCATGCAACAGCCTGGCCCAGCAGCTGTGAGCAGGGACAGCAAACACGCCATCTGCCAGCCTGGAAAATGAAAGCCCATCACACTTTCTGAGACCCAGCTCTACCAGCACTTTGGTGGAGCTGGTTTTCACACAGTGGAGTGGAAATGGTGCAGGTGACCACCTTCAGCTCTAAGCTCTGCTGTGTGGTACTAGCTGCTACCTCTGTGATGGACCTGCACCCTTGAGACCGATGTCTTCATCACCCAGTGGGCAAAATTTCAGTTCTAGTGAAGGAATTGTCAACATTTCCCTTGTGGGTGATGAAGACAGCTTTTGCCAGCAGCTCCGTCACATCAGCTGATGCTGCATTACATTGCAGTGTGGAAGTCAAAATACTTTTACTGCTTTACACCAGCTGAGGACCTGTCCTAGACAAATGCAAATAAGAACTGAAGAGAAGAAATAAATCTTCAGACCTGGGTTCCCAGGTTGCCTAATGCGGTGGTTTTACTGTACCAACATCATGCTGAAACCATGGTTGCACTGTCTGAAACCTTATATATATATCATTTTGTATGAAAAGGAGGGGAAAACCCAGCAGGCTTCAGCAGCCACAGGCATGCCTGAAGCAGGCGATGGGGTGATCGCAGCCAATGCATGCGGGTTGGCATTCACAGCCAGGTGAAACACAGCTGGCTTTGGTGCATGAAGACTTTGTTAATATTAATGAGGTTATGTAACAGCCTACCTCCTGGGGTATGCGGTAGATCATTAGGGGATTTTAATTAGTAGTCCCTGCAAACCTCTCTTCTTCAGGAGTGGTTAATTCATGCAACAAAACCTCACCTGTAGGGACCATGCACCATTACCCAACAGGTCTACATAACATGCAGCTATGAGTCAGGGCTATATTTACACCTGTATATACGTATATGTGTATATATATGTATGCATGTATATATGTGTATACTTCGCTTTGCCTGATACATTAATTGGGTTGTTTGACATTGCAGTGCTGCTAACAGTATATATATCACAGCAATAACAATAATGGTCTTTGCTGGCCATACAAGCCTGGAAAAGGAAAGGGCTTGCTGATCTGGTGTTTTTAGGTAGGCACCAAAAAAGATAAAAAATGAGCAAACCCTAGAGGGAAGCTATGGTTAACTACAATGTCACACTGATCCACAGCCATTCCCCGAGGCTTTCATGCCTTGTCTGCGGCAGTGTGCGACCTCTTCCTAGGTTAGCTGCAGCCCTGAATCAAGGCTTTCCTGTCTCCTGCCATATTGAGGCAGTAGAATAAGGGAGAGAAAGGTGAGAAAGAAGAGAGGGTCAGGTAAAATTGATGTAGAGCTAAAAAGTGCTTAAAACAGCCACCCAGGTTGATCCAGACTGGTTCAGCGCAATCGTTGACCCCTAGGAGAGGCCCCTGTGGGAGATGGGACTACAGGCAAAAAGGTATTTAGGTGCCTGATGAGCTGATTAAGCAGACCAGAGAGAGGCAGAAATGTAAAGGGACTTACGCAGGGGCAGGTATTAGGAGGGGAGGAGCAGATCCTCTGTCTCCGGGATCAAGAGGGGACTTTGCAGAGTTTGCAATGGGTCTACATGCTGCTAAGCTGGACTGAGAGCAAACCAGCCTTGCAAGGATACAAGAAGCACCGTGCAGATGAAGCAACCCTGGCAGTGAAGGTAGTGGAGACCCTGGGGTAGGGGTGAAAAAACAGTCCCATGGGATGGAAAATACTCACAGGCTTGCAGACATCACTGGCTGCAGTATCAGCTTTAACGGGCTCCACCCTGTGCAACCCCAGATAACCCCTGGGAAACCCTGTGATTGCTCCAGCATCAAAAAAAGATGTGAACAGGATCATTTTATCCCAGGACACATGCAGGCAGCACAAAAAATGCCTCCGCTAGGCTCTTGGTTGGAAAACCCTGCATGCAGGGCTGGCTTAGCCTGGCAGCCCCTTGCCTGTGCTCTGCCCTGCCCATGCCACCATCACCCTGTGTGCCTGGTGGGGCTGAGCCTTGGAGAAACACAAGTGGGAGCCTTGGAGCCTCCCACTTGCAAACAACTTTTTGGGGACTGAAATTAGGGCAAAAAAGCTGATTTTGGCACTCTTTCTGCTGCAAACAGGCAATGATAACCACTGCCCCCTCTTCCTCTGAGTTAGCAGAGGAGAGCCTAGGAAAGCTCAGCTTTCTTGCACCATGCCCGCAGTTACTCAGCGTCTCCCTGGGTTGCCTGACCCTGTTTGTCATTGTCTGGCAAGCACAAAAGTAGCTTTCGGCTGTTTGGGAGGCACAGACGTGTGCAGGATGGTGGGCTGGCTGGGAGTCATGTTACCGCTGTACACAGCACGCCCAGCAACACACCAACACCGCTCTGGCTGCTCTGCTCCGCGTCCCAGGGTGCTCAGCCTGTGCAGGAACCCCGTCCGCATCCAAAAACATGGTAAGTGGCCTTTCAGCAAAGCACTTTTTTAAAAAAATGAAGTATCTTTAAAGTGGCAGGTGGGTGTAGCAGAGGGGAAATTGTAACATGGGGCAGCAGCAAATCCCTAGCTAGAGACTAAGGACAATATAAGTCTATTTCACAGATTTAAAACTATGTATTTTAAATACAATTGTTTAATTATTGTTTAGGACACAGCTAGGAAAACAAGCAAACACCACTTCTGGAAATGGTCTGGGTTTAGGTCAGAGCAAGGCACCATGGAAGGCAGCAGTGTTGTGATATTAAATTGTGTCCAGTGTTTACCATGTATGGTTTGAAAACAGGCTAATTCTGTTTCCCTAAAACAGGTACACTCAGGAGAGTTCGTTCAGAACAGGTTATTGTAAAGAGTTACAATGCAACACTTTTAGAAGTCTCCCTTACCAAAAGTAGGTGGTGAACAAACTGGCAGATTTTTTTTTTTTTTGCAGAATTTGGCAAAGCAGTAGATAGGAGTTCTGGATAGGTAGGGAAAAGGAAGGGTTCTTGTTTTCTGCCATGTAAGATAAGCTCTGACCTGCTCCCCGATGCCTGCAGTGTGTGCAGGCTGGTGCGGGCTGCAGTGGAGCCAGAGGACGGCTGTGGGGTCGGCCCTAACACATCCCTTTTGCATTCCAGACCTTTTCTGCAGACATTTACCACCCACTGCACCAGCCTGCACCCACTGCCCCAGCCTGTACCTGGGGCTGCGGGGATGCCAGAGGTATCCCCAGGACTCACCATCCCGGTAGACATCCCCCCCTTCCACTTCCAGCCCCGCCAGGTCGGTGTGGACTGGCATCGCTTCAGCGCCATTGATGTGGAGCAGGTGGCCCAGGAGGTGGACGTGGCCATGCTCCAGGAGCACATTGCCGGCGTGACCTTCTGCAACCTGGATGGGGAGGTGCTCGGGATGGCCCAGCTGAGCATTGAGTACCTGCTGCATTGCCAGGAGTGCCTGGGGACCAGCCTGGCCATGCATGCACAGCGCCTGCAAGCTGCCCACGCCAAGCTGGCTTGCACCCAGCAGCAGGCAGCAGAGCAGGCGGCGCAGCTCCGGGGGGCAAAGGAGGAGAGCAGAAGGTGGAAGAAGCTGATTGCCACACAGCAGCTCCTCCTGCAAGCTGGCCCCAACACCTACTGCAAGGTGCGTGGTGGAAAGGTGTAAGGGGTGTAAAGCGCAACCCTGTGCAGGATGCTCTTTGCCGCATCCTGCCTTTGTAGCCCTGCTGCAGTTACACCTTGGCCCCAGAAAAGGTGCTGGCCAGCCCTGCTGCTTTCCCTGGCACTGGTTCATCACCTTCATGGAGACTGCAAAGTCCTTGCTAGGGAAGCTCCCTTTTTTTGTGCTAACTACAGGTAGTCAGAGCTGCACAGAGTGTGGGAGAGGGGGTCTGTAGAGGGCTGGTCGGGGAGATCTCATGAGATCCCTGTGTCCTGGGGATGTCCCTTCATGCCAGGGAGACTTTAAACAGCCTCCAGACCAGTGAAAGATTTCTGAATGCTCCTGGATTTCGTGGTGGTTTTGCTTTTTCCCCCCACCAAGCTTTTCACACGCTTTCAGCATGAAGCCTGCTGGCTGTGCCTATTTGTCTACTACTTCTCCATCACCAAATCGGCCCACTCACTCATTCCTGGAGAATAAAAGTCACCCAAACCAGGTGATTTAGGTTCATACAGCCTAGTCATCCCCACAAGGGCAGCTCTCCCTTCCTCCAGAGCCTTAGCCAGGACCCTGTTATAACCAGGACCTCACTGCTGCTTTGGCCACCTTATTGCACTGCTCTGTTGGGGAAAGCAGCATTTCCCCCCCCCCCCCCCGAGTAGTATCCCTGCACCATCTTGGCTTCTGCCTTCTCCTGACCCCTAAAGGGTTTTTTCTTTGGCTTCAGACGGAAGAAACTCCTAATACCCTCCATCTATGTACCTCCAGCATGACAGCCACATCTCTTGCGGTCTCCCCTTTTGCTTTAAAGCAGCAAAGCTTTGTCTGCCAGGCAGGGGACATGGGGAGTGCCCCTTTCTGCAGATCCCAGTCCCTCTGCTGACTTTTCCCCCCTCTCCAGTGCCACCTCTGCGATAAAGCCTTCATGAACAACTCCTTCCTGCAAGCCCACCTGCAGAGCTGGCACACAGAGGCCACCGAGATGGGTGAGCGCACTGGGACAATTTCTCCCTTCACTTTCCCAGGCAGATTTTCCCCCATTGGATGTGGATGCTGGAAACCAGAAAGTGACCGTAGGAGGTTAAAGACAACTTCTTATAACTTATTTTTTCTTCTGCATTTCTGTGAATATTGAATGCTTTCTGCTTGCTGCCTTTCCCTCAAGCACAGGTGGGATATGCAGCCAAATATGAGACTGCATGAGCATTTAAAACTCATCTCTGCACCTCAGTTTCCCTAAGGATCTTCTCCACCCAACAATTCCACAGGACCATGGGGATGGAGCTATGTTGGGGAGTTTGGGAGAGTGTTTTGCTAGAGCGGGACTTTGCAAAATTGTTTTGAAAGCTGCAGGTGTAACATGCTGTGTGAGAGCCACAGAGCCTCATTACAGCTTCATGTGCACCCAGCACTTGAACTTGGCAATAAAAAACCTGCTTTTGCTGTTTGCTGGCAGGTTGAAACCCCAGCCCAGTGCTGATGCAATGCAACGCAACAGGTTGAGCTTTGCTCCAGAGGCACCTTCCCCAGTGCAGCCTGAAATGTCCAAGCAGGGCACTTTGGCTGCTTGGGAGAGCAAGCCCAGTGCAAAGCCACGTTGCTCCACAAGCTGCTAATCTCTCCCAAGTTTACAGAAATAAAAAATAAATAAACAAAAATAATCAGAGGCCACATGGCCACGGTTGTCATGGTTTTTCCTGCAGCTCAGCTACCTGCTTCTCCACCCTGAAGCCCTGCAGCGGTTTTGCTCAGTACCTTAGTAGGATTCCCCCACACACAACCAAAGCAAAATCCCAGTAGGAGCTAGCAGATTGCACCCTTGCTCACAGTGCCTCTGTTTCCCTGAGCTTTGCAGAGAGGCAGGACATGAAGCAGGTGGAGCAAATGGAGAATGAGGTGGAGGAGTTGAAGGCAAAACTGCGGGAGATGCAACAGCAGCTGGAAGCAGAGAGGGGAGCGGAAAAGCTGCGCAGGGAGCAGGTATGGAGCAAGAGCACTGCACCTGTTTGGAAAAAATGGGGGTAGGAGAAGTGATGAAACGGTGAAAGCACAGGTGAAAAAGGCGCTGAAAAATATTTTATGGTGGGGCTCATGTTTATTTCTTTGGAAAATTTGCGCCAGAAAATTCCTGTGGGAAATGTCATGTGGAAATAAGGACTGTGTAAGTGTGCCTGCCCAGGAGGCTGTGCTGCCTTGACCTCCCCATGGTGTGTAAGCAGGCTGTGAGCAGCAGCGGGTGTAATGAGAGCATTGGTGCTCATCCCACTGGTGCCAGGTTAGAAGCCCCAGCATTTGGTGCTTCTGGTCTGCAGCCAAGATGTCTCCTGCCCTGATTTTTCCACTCCCTTTAGGAAACGGAGAGAGCTCACCATCGAGAAGAGAAGGGCAGGAGAGATTTGGAAAGGTGGAATGAGGAGGAGAGGATGAAGCTGCATGAAGAGATAGATGGCCTGAGGCATGTCTTCCTTGCAGTGTTCAAGGACGTGGCCAGCAGGAGCAGTGCCATGGAGGGGGTAAGCAAGCACTCCACATGCTCCTCGAGGCAGGTGAGGGGATGTTCAAGCCTGCTGCTTCACCTGGTCCAGGTGGCATCACAGGTTCACAGCCCAAAGAGGCTTCATTTCTTTGCTCCTGGGGCACACAAGCATTTTGGGGTCGGAAGCAGTGGCTGGCCAAGGTTGGGCTCCCCAGGAGAAAAGCGGAGCCTCCTGTGGGACACACAGCTCCTTCCTCTCCCCACTGCAGAAACTGCAGGAGCTTCAGGCCAGAGAGGCAGCGGAGTCCAACCTGGGGACCCTGCAGGACGATGACACCGAGAAGCCATGGTGGCGGGCACCAAGCTGGGCAGAGCTGCTAGGCAAGCAGGAGAGGATGGCCGTGCAGGTGGGCAATGTGGTACCTGTGTCCTTACCCTTACTGCACATCCCAGGAGGTGCGTTTGGATAGAGATGGACCCACATCCGTGCACCAATGTGTGCATCTGCTTTGTGGGCGTCTGATCTCAGCTCAGGTTCAGGTAGGGCTCCTGCTGGTGTACAGCACTGACAGTCTGAGTCCAGAGATGGGACCTGGAGGGTGCAGGGGGCATGTCACAGTCCCTGTGGTCAGCCTGCTTACTGCAGGGAAACCCATCTTCACTGGAGTACTGCAGAAGCTCACCGTATGGAAAAGCACTTAAATAAACAGAAGAAATTTATTTACCCATGCATCAACTGCCTTCTCAATGTCTAAAAACATCTGAAGAATGCTTTACCATGCATGGTAAAGCAGTCTTACTCTGAGCATGGAGTGAGTTGGGAACAGCACTGCTGTTACGGTGCCAACCGTCCTTCGGGGACCCAAAGGGAAGCTGAATTTTCTATGAGCATGGATGTGATCGGGTGCCCACGCCCACAAGAAGCCCCCAACCCGCAACCCAAGGAGGGAAATGCCTGTGTGTTAAATTTGGCAGAGGGCAGAGCAGAGGCAGGCGCTGGAGGACCTACAGAAGGAGAACTGGGCACAGAAGGTCCAGGTGGGTGCCATATGTCCTTGGCAGCTCCCAGGCACCTCGCTCAGAAAAGGCCTTGTTTTCTTTATGGTTCAAAGCCCAGAGATGTTAGGTCTCTTCAGGAGAACCAGGGATGCCCTCTCTGCAGATCAGCCCAGCAAGTGGTAGGTGGAAAGAGCAGGGCTACACACTTTAAATGAGCCTTGGCTGGACTTCAAAGCCCAGGGCAACAGAGTATAGTTATTATGTTATCAAGGGGAAAGAATAAAGGAAATGCAGCGACCAAAGCTGTATTCTGTCATGGCCGATGAGAAGACACAAGCTTGCCACCAGCAGACTTTGAAGCTAGCCATATATCTTCTGCAGGGCCAGATCTGCCCTTTGGAGGACATCTCAATAATGAATAAAGTCCAGAGAACTGCCCTTGCTTTCTGGGGAAGGGAAGAGGTGGCTCCAGACCAATTTTTTACCATGTTGAAGTCTTCTTGTTCCTTTTTTGCCCCTTTCAATTGAAGAAAGAGAACAAGATGCTCCATACCATCTCATCCCAGGACCAGCGGGCTTTTATGGACCGTGTCCATCAGGAAATGGATGCCCTCAGCACCCATCTCAGGGAGCAGCCCAAGGTCACGAAGTCCCAGGAGAAAGCAGCAAGTGAAATAAAAAAAAAAGGTGGTCTTGGTTCATCAAGAGGGTTTAAGCAGATGTTTAACTCTAAGCAGCCTTAAAATATTTGCTGAGTTAAGACTAAGCCTATTTTAAAGCCCATTCTGTAATGCTTTGTTACATTTGGCTCTTTTTTGCACTCAATAAACATGAAGCATTACATGAATATCTTTGGCACGAACCATGCCCACCAGGATGCAGATCACCAGAGCAACACTTTGCATTACAATTTGGATCATCTTTTACTTGTTATCAGATCAATGAATAGCACGTGGCTATAACAGGACGGCATCGGATGTGCCAGTGATCATATTATGGAAGGGAAAGCCCCTAAGCTGACCCCTTACATGTACGGTCTGCTTAAGGGAAATAGCTCTTGGGGAGTGTATGTGCCCACTTTAGACTCTTGCTATTTTCTGCTCCTTTTTTGAATGCATTTAATAATAATACTCTGCAGAGAGAGGAAAAATTCCCAAAATTATAGACAAAGAAATGATCTTTGAATGATACCCAGTCTATTTCTTTACAGATCAAGCTATTCTCTGCAAGCAAACCTGAAGGTAATGATTGCATTTTTAAAGTGAATCCATTTGGGTCTAGATAATTTTTTCATAGCTAACAACCCTTCAGACCACAATGTCTTCTCTGTCTCCCTCTACAAAAGCGTGCCACGGAGTCCTCTCCAGGGAGCTGGCTGTATGTTCTCTCACACGAGGCTGTGGAGCGGACAACTTCCAGTCCCTTGACTATATGCTGCAACAGCATAGACCACAGCTTTGGTCACTGGCACAAAACTAACTTGTCTCTTGGGTGGGTTTTGCATTGTAGCCATACCCCAAAGGAATGAGATTTCAATCAAGCACTCACAGCAAACGGATAACCTTGCCTCCTCCAAAATGATGCCAGTGGTTATTTGCATAAAAATAAGGAGCTGAGGCATGCTGTGGTTTCTTCTTCTTCTGGGTTTTCTATAATCAAGTGCCAGGGAAAGAAAATGGGGACTTCTCAGCTCCCTAATGCCTGTGGCGCAGCTGCAGACCTGGCCAGGTGCTGCTGCTCAGAAAACAAAAAAGGCCATAAGACGGGGATGGCTATTAGCAAATACCCAAGGGGTACTTCGTTGACCCCAGCCCTGAGGGGTAGCAGAGGGCTGTTTGCCCACTGACATCCTCCAGCTGGTGGCCTTGGCAGGTGAGTGCCCCGGGGTTTCCCTCAGGGATGTTCTCCAAGGGCTAGTGCCAGACCTGGGCCAGCCTTGGATCCCCAAGGGGACAGGTGTGTCCATACTTTCCGTATAGGAAAACCAGGTGATGATCAGCACTTGCTTCTGCGCTGGGGCCTCGGCTCCTGTTTGACCCTCACAGGCTCCTTTCTTCCCTGCAGTGACCCAGGAGGTGACCAAAGTGGTGCCTGATGAAGAGTCATCAGGTGGGTACTGGAGTTGGCACATCCCTGTCCCAAGAGCACCAGGATGAAGCTGGTGTTTGGCTTGGGGTGTTGTGCGGTGAGGACGAGGGCGTGCTGGGCAAAGCTGGCGGTGATGAGGTGGTGGGCTGGGGACAGAGGGGATGACCTCGCTGGTCCCCTCTTGGCTGTGCAGAGTACAACAGCACCATGACCAGCCCTGCTGCCAATGCTTCACCCGGGAAAGCTGTCCCAGGCAGTTGCTGGGCTGTGGGTGGGATTTTGGAAAAGTTGTGGGCAGGAATTAATCAAATTAGAGGAGGAAGAATCTTCCCTTCGTAGAGGGATGTAGTCTGCTGAGAGCAACCAGTTGCTTGCTCTGGGACTGGTGGGATCCATGTCCCCAAAGAGGAGGAGGGACTCACTGGCCCAGGGCGCAGACCATGTGTCACCGTGCTGGTACCAGCACCCACCTTTACTCCAGACAGAAAGCAAGCTGCCCTGGGTGGGAAGCAGAGGCTGCTGGAAGCCCTACGGAGAAACCCAAACCTCCTGAATCAGTTTCGCCCCATCCTGGAGGAAGTGCTGGAAGAAAAGCTGGAGAGCATGGGGGTCAAGAGGGTAAGTCTGCCCTTTCAGTGCTAGCATTTGCAATGCCAGCTCTGAGCCAGTGCAGGGACACAAAGATTTTGTGGGGGGGAGAACAACTGAAATACAAACAGGCAGTAAAAAAAAATCCCCATCTGGAGCAATCACACCCTGAGAGGCAAATGGGAAGGTGGAGGCAGAATCACACAGTAGCACAGGGAATAAACAGCCGTGATCCCATCCCTGAGGTTGGTTATTAGTATCTCTCCAGCAAATCTTTCTCACAAGCAGCCTTTTATATGCTAAATTAGCCAGGGCTCCCTCTCTTCTAGGAAAGGAGGGTGTTTGAGGGCACAGCAGCCCCTGTCATGGGGATTTCAAGGGGACTTTCACTGTCCAAGTCCTTTTCATGCCAAGCATATTAAATAGTACCTCCAACAAGTCTTCCTGAGCTCCCGGCAATGCAACACCACCACCTAGCACCTTGCAGAGCTGGTGCAAGGACAGTGAGCAGGCAGGCAGCGGGCACGGCTGCTGCAGACCCATGTTGCTCCATCAACCAGTGTTTCTGAGCAAGGCAGAGTTTCTGTTTCGGGTCCCGAGGGCACAAAGAGAAATCACACTGAATGGCTTCTCGTGTGATTTGTTTTCTGGAGGTGCATGTAAGGAGTACTCCTAGGTTCATTTCACATAGGCTGGAGCCCTGGCATGTCCCCCCTTCCCCTGGCATGTTATTAAGGAACACTGAGGTGGTGTCACAAGAAGCAGAGGTGCCCAAAGCCAGGCCCACAGGCGTACACCCCCCTTCACCCTTCGCTTCTCATCACTTTGCATCTCTACAAGCCCAGGTGGTCATTCGTGGTCACAAAACCTGCTCGAGTTGTAAATACCTCCTAAGAGAAAATGCTGCACGCACTTACCCTGTAGCCTAGAAAATTGCCCAAAATAGCTGATATTTACTCTTCAGTGGTCATTTACCAAATCAGGTGAGGGCTTTGCAAATGATGACTGAAGCCTCATTGTGGGCTGTTTGTATGGGATACATTGTGCTGGGGAAACAATGGGTGTCAGGGCTGGTGAGAGCTTTCTTGGGGTTTGGACAGGGCTTGGAGCTTGCAGGATGCTCTTGAGATATGGGTGGTGCTGCCAAGGGCTTGTTTCACCACTCAGCACTGTGGGAGGACAGCGTTGGGCTCCTCAGCCACCCTCTGCTTTAGGTTGCGAAGGGGATCTCCACTTGGACCTACAAAAGGCTCCAGGCTCTGGTCAGGCTTCAGCAGCAACAGAAGGCTGAGAAATTTCCCGGTCTCCTCTGCCTGAGGGATGAGTTGGTCCGAGCGGTGATGGGGAAAGTTAAGCGATGCAAGAAGCCCAGCAGTACTTTGCCTCGACAGCTCTCCATCATCCCAGGTGAAGTGACCTCCTGTCCTCTCTACATACCAACCATGGGGACCTGTGGCCACCCATCAATGGCCACGGGATGCCATTCCCTTACCCAGTGAGACAAAGACAGAGAAAGGGCAGGAAAGGGCATTTAGGGGGATGCAAGTTTCTGCAATTGCTCTCTGCATATTGACCTCATGTGGGTTGGCCTGACATACTCAGGAAAAAACATTAGCTGTCCACAAAAGCCCCAGCAGAGTGAAATACAGGTTTGGCAGTGCTTGCAAATCCCTTTCTCCCCCTTTTTCTACACAACCCCATGTCGGGTGGGCTGCGTGGCTCTCCCAAGGGCAGCCCACAGGACTAGCAGGAGGTGGGTGGTGATTCTCCTTGCTCTCAATATTGCCTTCCAGCTGAAAGCCCGAAGAGCCCCAGGTCCATTCGTGGGGCACAGCCCATGGCGATACCAGCTGCAGTAGAGCCTGAAGCCTCAGTAATCCTCCAGCCTGCTCCTCGGAGCAGAACCCGCTCCACCCACAGCCCCCCGAGGACTCCCTGGGGCACCCTGTGGACCTCCAAAGCCACCGAGGACTTGTCCCACGGTGGAGGTGAGTCCCATCACCTCCTTTTGGTCTCCAGGCAGGTGGGCAGTGCCCAGGACCCTTAGCCACAACCTGGCACCAAGTATGCTGAGTGTTGCCCAAACACCAGCTCCTTTGGAAACTGCCGAGTGGTGAGTGAGTGATGTGGCACCCCAGAGGAATTTGTTTGGAAAAGGAGTTTTCTGGGGTCTCCCTGCCCATATGGTCTAACTCACAACAACTCAGCAAAGTCAGACCTGAGGGTCTGTACCCACCATGTGGTGCTGGAGACAAACACGGGGCATTTCCCACTGGTGTTTGGCTCCTTCTTCCCCTCCCAGAACCTCTGCAAGGGGATGAAGGAGTTCTCTTGGGGTTTTGGAGCAAAAGTAGTAAAGATGTAAAATAAAAGCTTGGAGAAACTGTGCAGGCGATGCAGAGAAGAAGCAACATACAGAGGCTGTGAGATGGCAGCAAAGAGGAAGAGGAGCTCATCTGTGGCCAAGAGCAAGAGAGGAAAAGGAGTTACTTGTTTGCTCCAGGAGCAAGAAAAAGCCAGATCTAGGTTTTAAACTCAAGCAAAGCAATATCCAAATGCAAGGCAAAGGATGGGTGTGAGTATTTGTTGGAGAGGCCAGCAGGAAAGTGTTTGCAGTCAGTGGGTGTGATGGATCTGTCCACATCCATGGTAAACGCAGAGCTTCTCCGTGGGTGGCCCTGCTCAGGGTCAGATCACAGCCCAGAGCATCGCAGGGTTTCCCCGCATCTGCTGCAGGAGTGGGGGAGGGGGACTCCAGAGCAACCCCATGCCCAATCCATCCCTCTGCGCACCAGTTCAGAAGTGGTGCTGGGAGGGAAGAAACCTGCCCCATCCCCCTGTGAGGCTCAGCTCTCAGCAAGAGCCAGCGCTCTCCACAGTGGTGCTGGGGGATGAGACTGACTCCAACGGGTGGGACCTGGACTCGCTGGAGGAAACGGCTGGTTCAGGTACCGCCTGTTCTTGTAGCAACCACTGTGGGTCAGCGAGGTGGTGGGGACAGTCCTGGTTAGCACCACCAGTGCTGCCGTGTCACCTTCTTCCTGGGGCTGAAATGGGACAAGTCTTACCCCACCATCCCCCATAACTAGCCAGGCAACGGGGCACGGGTGGCTTTAACCATCTGCAACGTGTGTGCCTGACCCTGCCAGAGTATTTTCCTAGGGCTCAGTAAACCCTGTGGCTCTTCCTTTGCTCAGAGGAAAACCAGACTGCCTAGAGGATGCAGGGAACCCTACAGGACTGAAAGGGCTGTCAAACACAAGGAGGAAAGCTTGTTTTAACAGTCAGCTGTATGCTGCAAAACCTGATGTGAACCATGTGTCAGGAAATGAGGTAGGGACTGCTCCTGGGCCCCTCAGAGAGGTGGGGGGGGCAGCGGGAGGCACCTGCTGCCTATGCATTAACTGCAGACAGCAGCAGGTGCTCTTTGCCTGTGGCTTTGGTGTGTCCCAGGCCAGAAAAGAGCTGTCGGTGCTCTGCCACACACCACTAGCCCAGGCTGTGTGTGCAGATGGAAGTTTCCTCCAGCATCTTTGCATGCAGGGGAGCATTACCCACCCAGTGCTTGCCTGGGGAGGGAACCCCCCCATGCTTTATCCTATGCACAAAATATTTACTTCCTGAAACAGCTCCATTGGGATGGGTCCAGACAGTGCTAGTGAGTTTAAGCTACTTTGAAACCAACTTGCCCTGGGGCGGCTGGTGGTCCCTCCCTTCTCACTGAGCTGTGCCATCACCGTGCCTTGGGGCTCCCTGTTTAGTCTGCTCTGTCCTGCACAGGGACAGCCACATCCACAATGGTGAGGCTCTTGGAGAGATGCCTGGATGCAGTGGCACAGAAGCCACCCAGCAGGGTGAAACTCTTCCCAGCCCTGAGCTCGGCATTGCCAAAAAACAGCCAGCCCGCCAAGAAACTCAAGGTATTTCATGCAAATGACCGTAGGGATGTTCTCTGAAATAATTTCCAGGAAAAAAGGCATGTCAAACCCTCTTTTCAGCTCATACCCGTCAGCAGTGCCACAGGGCATAGTCTGTGTGCAGGGAGTTAAAACTTACGGCAGCAGAGACTTGGCCCTTGGCCCCTTCATCCAGTTACAGGTGTCTGTCCTTCCCCTAATGTTTTTCCGTTCACCCTCCTTGGTGGGAAAAAAAAAAAAAAAATTATAATCAGTATTCATGCAATTGGGAGCAAAACAGTAAGCGCCAGAGAATCGAACTGAGAAAAGGTCTCTGGAACAAATCCAGAGATAATTGGAGTGATGCAATGGAGAAATTATTAAATTACTAAAACGGGACTTAAACATAACCTCAATTTATGGGTGAGAGCTGATGTAATTAAAGTGGTGGCAGTGTCGGAATCAAATTGCTTTTTCAGAAGAAAAATTGAAAAGGATTGTACCCAAGGAAGGCCCGGCACAAATACTGGGAAGATTTGTTGTGTTCTTATGCAATGACGATGAAATTCTGGGCCTTCATCTGACAAAGTTTAAAAAAAAAAAAGTGAAGTGTAAGATTTATGGGACAATTTGCAATTTGCAAGCCATGGAAGTAGAGAAAGGGTGTCCTGTGTGGCGTCCTGGTGCAACCATGTTTGGCCCTCTTTGCGCTAATTTTTGCATCAACCTGATGGAGAAGAAATCCCTGTTGATTTGTAGTAGGGGAGCACAGGGTGCAAATGTCAGGGGGGGTGGGTCTGGCCCTGCTCAGAGCCCTGGCTCCCCTTCACCCTCTCTGTGCTCCTCTCCAGTTTGCAGGTGACAGCAGTGACCTGGAGACCTCCTCCCTGGAGGACCTGGCTGAGCCACCAGCCAGGTGGCTGCTGATCCTCAGGGGGCCACCTCGGTCCCCAGGGCCCTGGGGAACAGGTCCTGCAAGGGGACACATGGTGGTGACAGGGAAGTGAGAGTCCTCTGCCAGCAGCCACTGGATGGTGCCACAAGACCAGAAACGGGCAGCAGCTGCTCTGCAGCCTCCCTAGGGCTGCTCCTGTACTCCAGCCACCCCTCTTTTTGGGAAGACCCCAATATTTGGGCTCTCCCAGACAGCACGGGGGGGTTGGGTGCTCCCTGGCCAGCCGCTGTGGATTGTACCAAGGAGGATAAATGCTGCATGGTCTGAAAAGGAGAGATTTCTGCTCTCCCTTCACTCATGCACATGAGCTATAACACAGTGCTCGATGGTGCCATGAGTTTTCGGAGCCCCAGCAGCTCTCCCTGGACTTTGCCCCCACAGGCTGGGGCCAACTCTCCACACTGGACACAGCCTGGCACTTGTGTGTGGCTTTTTTATTCTTTACGCAGTCTGAAAAACAGAGTCAGGGAGGGGAAAAAGCAGCTTTCCTTCTCATTGCGTCTTTCTTTGCCAGTGCTCCCGAGGATGATGGAAAAGGTCTCGTTTTCCTGCTCTAGGACGAACCTGGACTGAATGCACTCAGATGAAGTAACAAGCTGCAGCGGCTGTCTCCTTCCTCCTTCCTTTCTTGAACTGGTGGAAACTCCAATCCAAAGGATGATTTTTTGCACTGTAAACATGACCACATAAGCCTGACTGCTGATAATGCTCATCCATGTAAATTAAGTTCATTTTCCTAATTCTCTCTGTATTTTGCACATTTGTAGCACTGCATTTATGATCTTGATCCCTTAAAAGTATGAAATTTTGGAAAATGCAACAGGAAAACTGGCACTTCTCAGTATCTCTTCTCTTTTCCAACCTACTCCACTGCTGCTTCAAACTTCTGCCATTCCCTATTTCTAACATTTGCATGTGGATTTTAATGCTAGGGAGCAGGAAGCCCAACCAGGGCTGAGCAGAACAGGGTGAATTAATTTAACTTCATTGAACAGCAAAAGTGCCTTCTGGATAACTCTCCACAAACATGCAGAAAACCCTCCATATTTTGCAAATCCACATGTCCTCCAGTATGTGCACATTCACCTGTGGGCTTATACCCATCCATATGGCATAGCTCTCTAGCTACATACCTTGAAAAGGAATTTTTCCATTTTAAGCTTTCAGTTTTAAATAAGAATGATACCTGGTTTGTGTTATTAATTGCTTACAGTGCTATTGCCAGATGTGCTACTTCATGTTTAATTTAACAGCTGTTGTTCTTTGTGGCGAGTGTTGATGATAATGAACACTGCTTTTAACCAATTAAATAAAGGAGGGATGTTTTCATCCCCTTCAGAGCACTGGTACTGGTAATCGGGAAAAAGAAACTATCTTTTTACCTGTTAAAAATTGCAGGTAGCAGTGAGCATTTGCTCCTGTGAGAAGGGTGATAGGAAACCTCTCCTGGCTCATGCACCTCTGCCCTCGCTGCCTGCCATACAGCAGCCCTGGGCTGGGCTCCAGTGCTCGCATGGTCCAAAGCCAATGGGGAAATAAATTTCTGCCCAAAAGAGCAAACAGGCAGGAAAAGGGCAGAAAGCAGAAGCTGTTTCGCCTTGACTACATGGCAAGCTCGGTGCCAAGGCAGGTGCCCTGCCCAGAGCTAAAATCTAAATCACACTCGTCCCACCAGCTGCTGACCAAACCTTGCCAGCCCCAGGTCCGGCTACTTTTACTGCTCCTGCATGTATTCACTTGCCGACAAGTGCAAGAATTACTCTTCCATTCATTTTACCAGCAGTTTTCATGCCTGAGGTGCTTTTGAGCCATTGCAGTGAGCTTCATGCACTCAGCACTGAGTCCAGATGGTGCCAGAAAGGTAGGGGAAAAACTTCCCCCAAGTTTGGGAAGCTCCAAAAATACCTGGCAGCCTTGTGCTGAGAGAAGAGTGACAGTCATACTCTAACGAATAAATAAATAGCGATGCAGACAAAGCATTTTTATTTCAGACTGGACATTTTGAGCCAACAAGGTCCATGGGAAGTTGTTCTCTGTGTGCTGCAAGCTGCAGCAAGCCATATGGCAGAGGACGCATGATATGCATAGAAGAAGAGCCATGAAGATTCACCTTGGGTTATCCCAGGTGATGGGCTCCGTCTCCAGAGAAGACAAGAGAAGGGAAGAGGAAGGGGAGAAGTGACTCCAATGACATCAGCTCCATCAGTGTGTCTTGTCCAGAAAAGAAATTTTACTAAATTTTTTTTCCTGTTGTTTTATGGGCTACTTCCCCAGGTAAAGCAACTGCTCGTGTACCCCTTTTTAGAGTACTGTCCTTTTCTTGATGACACCAAATTGGGCCACATGGGACTCCTGTGCCCACTGGCACTGCTGAGTGCTCGTGCCTTGCTGCATAATGCCAAACCAGCAGACAGAAGCAGGGATGCTCCCCGAGTAGGCGGATCACTGCAGCCAGGGGAATGCAAAACAAAGCAAAACAAAACAAAGTCAGCAGAAAGCACACAGTGGAAAAGAAAGTCAGAAGTGCAAGTGGGGACTCTCGCTCGCAGCTGAGGTTAAATAGGCAGACAGGTGTCCTGATATTTCCTTCGCACAAAGATTTCTTTGTGATTGCATTAAGGAAACAAATTCAGCTTCTCCCGCAGGAGAACAACAACGGAACAAGAGCTGCCTCCAAAATTAATTTCTCTCACCCTGTAAAGATGCAACACTGCAACGCCACGAGACAAGAAGACTTTGTTAGCAGCGAAAGCAATGGGGAGGCTGCTGCAGGCGGAGATGGCCCGTGCAAATCACAGGCATCCTGCCTTCACACTGCCAGCACCTCTCAGAGCCTGACACCACATCCCTTCCCTCTCAAGCCTTCACACCTGCTCCTTGGGTCAAATCCCACCCACTGGCATGCTGTGATTGTGCACCACCAGCCTGCTGCTTGCTACTGGGTGGTGGAGCAGGCTCGTTCCATGGGGTGGAGCACACGTGCCTGTCCGTGCTGCGTAACACCCACAGGCTTTTCCTGAAAAGCTAAAAAAAACCCTGAAGTTTTGTTAAATGATGGAAAATGCAACCCTAGCATCATGGCATGATTTGGAGAAGCAGGTCCTGTCCAGTACCCATGCTTTTTCCTGGGCATGGTTTTACCTTTCCTCCAGTGCAAGCAGCCTAATCCTCACCCCTCTGCCCTGATCTGCATCCCCCACCCAGGCATGTAACCCCATCCCTCCCATACCCAAACTGCTCCCCTTAAATTCCCACAGGTTTTTATATTCCTCTAATTTTTCAACCTTGTCTTCAGTTCAGCATGGCATGGAGGGTTTTCCATGGTCTTCACCAATTGCTGAAAGCTCGTTTCTCCTGCCAGAAGTGACTCCTTTGGCTTCGTCCTTTCTGGAGTCTTTGGAAACAGTAAAACAAGTTCAGAGCCAGCAAGATAAAGAACTAGCCAATTTAATAAAGGAGAAACCACGCAAATCAGGGTTTCCTTCTGAAAAAGGTACCTTTGCAGTGCCATGCAAATTGAAGGGTTGAAGAGAAACCTGAGGTTGGTTTTACAAACACTATCCCAGCTGATGCCTGCACAACCAGCTTCCAGCTTGCAGATACTGTAACTGAGCCATACTATTTAGGACATCCATGGGGCATAGGCATGACCCCCTTCCCATGGGTGCAAAGCAGCACAGCTACATTGAAACCGTTGGTCAGGCCCTTGCTAGGAGTTTAATGCCATTGGAGTCTCATGCTTTTTAAAATAATATGTTTTGCGTTTTGTTTTTCTCAATGACATTTGTCATCATGGGACTTCATTTATTGGTCATACTTATATAAAGCATAAATATGTGGGACAATTAGTAGATAATCAAACCACAGCACTAACAATCTTCGAATGCAACGCAACTCTCCCACATAATACCAAGTAGAAAAAAATAAAGGAAAAGAAAAATCCTATCAAATTTATTCAGCTGGAATATGTCACCCAGAAAGCTATTCTCCCATAATATTTGGGGCAAGTACAGTGTCATAAATCTTAGTGCTATTAATCCGTAGACTCATTCATATCTGTTCAGCTATATAAAAGCAATAACCTTGTCACTATAGGAAGGAAGATTTGGCTTTTAATTGCATATAGATTTCAAGACAGTTCTTATCTCATAGTCCAATTTGTAGCTTCAGATATGGGTCTTTGCTTCCCTTGGTCAAAGTCCATGCAAATCTGCCGTGCCCTCATATACTTATAAATGGTGCAGAAGCTCAGAAAGAACCTATATAGAGCTCTGCTGGCAGATAATACACACAGCCTTTTCAGCGTTCGCTTTATTAGACAAGCCTGTATTTAATTAGCTCCTCTGAAACAGGATATGCATTTTTCAGAGAACTATCAAATTTATGGAAACAAAACCATTTCTGACTGCAGGCACACATGCACACACACATCACCAATCACAATTTCCATGACTCATCTCCCTTGGTTCTGCAAGTGCTACCAAATGCATCCCTTGCCCTGCAGTTTATTGTCAATAAGGGCAAGGGGGGGGGGGATGGGAAGTCATCCCTCCCTCTCCAGTAACAATGTCAGGAGGAAACACTGGATTTATTCACGGGGCCAAGAAATCTGCAGTATCTGGGCTCCAGCTATTTCCAGGCTTTACTCAGCCAAAGTCTTCTAGAGGCACAAACCTCCTTGTTGCTGTGCAATTGGTCAAACCCGCAAGCCCAGTTTAGCCCAGCAAATATTTAACTGCTCCTCCCAAACTTCAGCCAGGCAGCAAAGCAGGATGGTGAGGGCTTTGCTGTGCGTGCCTCGGTACAGCACTGTACCCTCCCAAGTTTCTGCCTGCAGGGTGACCGGCTTGAGAACAGGGTGTTGCTCTTTCGAGCAGCTCAGTTTTGCACGTAGTGCTGGGTTCAAAGCCTAAATTCACACCTTTTAAGGAAAAGTGCCTCCCTGCAGCGCTGGGGAGCCAGGCACAGCGTGAGGTGCAGAAGCTGTGTTTTGGGTGGGTGGCCCCAGGGTGCTCCTCAGGCAGCATATGGACTGGGTGTCCCTCCTCCCCA